CTCAAAAAAAGGGTGGGGACAATTCACAGCTCCTCCAACAGTATATTAGTGTGTCTCATTTACCACAGTCATACCACCATCAAATTTTGTCACATTTTATTATTATCTTTGCCTATAAAATCTTTGTAAGAATCATATATGCATGTATTGAAGGTATTCTTGATGAAAATGTAAGATGCAAACACGCGGGCATTTACAGATGATTTTCTTCAGTAGTATCTATCTTCACATTCACACAATTGATTGGAAGATGTAAGGAATATAAGAACCCACTGTATATATTATTTGTTGAATACTAAATAGAGAAAAAATTATTTGACAGAGTAAAAAGAAGTTTTAAATCAGTGGTATTAAACTCAAATAGAAACAGAAGCCACTAATCTGTACATAAGGATCCTTGTGGGCTGTATATTAACTTAAGTTTAAAATGTAATGTTATCTATTTGTATTGTATTTTTATTTATTTTGTTAAATATTTCCCAATTACATTTTAATCAGGTTCAGACCCTGTGGACCACATATTTGACACCTCTGCTTGAAAGGATATCCACAAATAACGTGCCATGTCTATGTTAAGATGATTAAAAAATCCCATGACATATAGGACTATAGAAATAATTCGGTAAAACCACCCATCGATTATCAGTATCAAGAACATTATCCAACAGGGAGATATATACTGACCAAAGGTGTTGTCTTAGAGGATGTCATGCATCAAGTTCAAATGTAAGAGGGATTCCCTAGGGATGGAGGGTTTCTCCAGATGTTCCTGTTTATAGGTAGCATTATGCCATTGACAACAAGCCCCATAACACCATATGGTCTTCTCAATGAGATCCACATACATACAGGAAGAATAAAGCTGATGAGAAATATGTGTCATCCAGATTATGACATGCAGTGGGATGGACAACTCATTGAAATAGTCCACCAGTATATTTATATTGAGTAGGCACTGCAGATGGAAGAGGAGCTGAGGCCAACATTTAATGGTAGGAGGAGATCGGGCTGGACCCAATTTGGGAAATTGTGCAATATTTTTAATGATCCAAAGCAACTTCCTGCTGTAAAAACCCATGTTTTTCAACACTAGTATTATCCTGCTGGTATTATATTCTCCAAAGAATCAGAATGGCAGGTGACCCAGACAGCAATAGAAAGACACGTGGTAGGTGAAAGTAGGGTATTGCACATTAGTAACAATGACTTGCATGGAAAATGTTTAACTTTTGTTAAACATATATAACATGCATAACTCAGAATGGGGGTAAACCTGTCACATGGCAAGGATAAAATATGACAAATGAACCATCTAAAAGTTGTACTGATAGCCACAGAATTTTGAAAGAATGAAAGGAAATCTTCTAGCACATCAGGTAGATCCTCTGTGGAAGACTGATGAAAAAGATAACAAAAAGAATCCTACTAGTTGAGATGGAATGGAGCTCCAACTTTCCTGGACACTCTCACTCTCTCCCACATACATAGACTCATTCCTCCCAAATGATTCCTTTCACACTGTACCAACTCACAAACTACCTCATCATAATTATAGTTCTTTTGCTCCAGGCATCAATTTCTCATACTCTTATTTCTAACCAATATTGCTGTCATGACATCTCTTAAATAAGCCAGGGGAAGAACTGGAACCCATAGGCAACATTTTTGACACACATACACATCCCTCCCTTTGGGGAAGTGGGTGGAATTGATTTTCCCTGACCGTAAGTATCTCCACCCACTGGGGCCAGCTCAGAGCATGACTTTCTCATGAGGTCTCCACCAATTATCCAAGCCCTCCCCCACCATGCCTAAGAGTGATAGTAGAGAAGACAAAAGTCCTGCTAGGGAGCTACCTGTCTGTTTGGAGATAAAGAGATTCACTAGTGAGAGTCTTCATCTAGTGCATAGGTTCTTAGCGTGGGGCACGTTAGCCCCTAAGAGGTACACGGTAGGGATGGGAGAAAAACAACATTGCATTTTGGTATGTACTAAGCTTCGGTTTCCTTAGGAATCCTATCTATTTTATACATTTAAAAACATTATTCTTAGAAGGGTCCCACAGGCTTCATGAGACTGCCAAAGAAATTCATGATATAAAAAAAAGTTTAAGAGCCCTTGACTTAGGGCAAGGGTTTTAATCCAAAGCAACCTGGTCATCTCTGAACTCCATCACAAATGGGGTGAAGTAAATTAAGTGCTATGTAAGTGTTAGGTTGTCGTTGTACGCTGATAAGAAAAATAATTGGGGAGGAAAGAATCCGGCTGTAGTTCTGCAACATCGTGCCATTTCCTTCAGCTGAATGGGAAAGGGATGTGGCTTCCACCCACCACCATAAAATCGAGCTGCCCCAAGTTGATTTTTTACATTAAGTACCAAACTCCTCCCTACATGTTATTCTCCCAACCCTGCTTTGTATGGACCACTCCCATCCCCACCAAGATTGGATTTGGATTCATTACTCCTAAACTCAGACCATATGCTCCCGCCTATTGGCTTGCATCTGGCAGCATATGAATTTCTGTCCTTGACCGTGTTACTGATTGTCCATTTGACTCCTTGTCCGTCATTGTTTTGGGAGGATGCCTGCTCCATTTTGACAGGCTTGTTAACTCTCTTACTTGTTCATCTCCCTCTAATCTTCTGCACACACTGATTCTCTACTACAAGAACAAGGGCATAGGATAGAAAGTGCCCTGATGAAATGTGCATGGCTGGCATAACTTTATAGGGGAGAAGGATCCATCAGATTATGGTTTGGAGGTTATATTTTAAAGGATCTATCTCCTTTAAAACATCAAATTCTCTGGGCTTTGTCTCAACTCTGCCAAGCAACCTTCTAATTTATTTGGTTTCCCAGGAAATCCCTCCTACTAGAAAGAGGAAGCATTGACTAGATAACAAGCTGTATTCCAGCTTGATTGAATTAATCTACATTAAGAAATAGTTGATAAGATGGGATTTTGACTTAATAAATCTGTCTCCAATGAGTTTAGCTAGTATAAATCAGTCCCCCAAGTGCCTGTTAGCCTCTAGGGGAACTAATCAAGTCAAGTTCCAGAGCCCACAAAACTAAGGACCACAATTTGAACCTGAAGTGACTCCATCTATCAAGACAGACATAAGGCTCAGCCTGAGAAATTCTCTCCTTGCCTCCTCTTAAACATAACATTAATGCAAGTTAATTTCTGAACCAACTTCAAACTTACTTTATTCTATTTCTCTGAACAGTAGAAAATTTATATAAAATGTAAGCTCCTTGCGGGCAGGGGCTATCTCATTTTTGTATTTGTATCCTCAGAACCTAGCACAGTGCCTGGTGCATATCGGTGCTTCTTGATTGAATGATTGATAACAAGAGAGACAGTGTGGCATAATAGAAAGACATAACATGTGAAGTCATTTGGGTTTGAATCCTAGCTTTATTACTACCTGTGTGATACTGGGCAAGTCATATATCTACAAAATGAAAGAACAATTCTTGTACTACTTACCTCATAGATGGCATAGACTCATTCACACACACACACACACTCACAATCTTGACCTTCTTATTCTGAATCTTCTTGTGCCCCACCTTCTCCTTCCCTTCTCTTCCCTCCCCCATGTTTTCTTTTTCCACACAGAGGCAAAGGTGGGATCAGTACTGTGCCATTCAGATCTCACCTCTGCCAAGGTTGTCATCATTATCTATATATATAAGAACTATTCAATGGGGATTGACACTAGGACTCAGTTTATGACTAAGATCATTCTGGATACCAGGCTTAGGCTGCTAGCTCCTCCTTGGGGCAAACCCAACCCACCCAGAAACCTGCACCCCAAAACTGCCAGACATGCACCCCCAAACAATACTTATGAAGAACTTCAAAAGCCAGAGGATTTTGTTTTGTAGTTTTCAGTCATGTCTGACTCTTCATGACCCCATTTGGGGTTTTCATAGCAAAGATACTGGAGTGGTTTGCCATTTCCTTCTCCAGCATCTTACAGATAAGGAAACTGAGGCAAACTGGGTTAAGTGACTTGCCCAGGGTGACACAGCTAGTCAGTGTCTAAGACCCAATTTAACCTCAGGTCTTCCTCACTCCAGGCCTGGAGCTCTATCCACTGCACCATCTAGCTGCCCCAGAGGATTTTGTATTTTATGTCAAACACAACGGTGTTAGACTTGGAGTCAGGAAGACTTTGATTTGAATCTCATCTCAGACAGTAACTATGTGACCCTGGACAAGTCACGTAACTTCTCTGCAATTTCCTCAGTCCCCCATAACTGAAATACAATCCCTCCTGCTTCCCTCTTTAAGATGCAACTCAAATACCATCTTCTGCATGAAACCTTTCCTGATCCCCCCAATTGCTAGTGCCCTCCCTCCCATAGTACCCTGCATTTAACTACTTTGTGTGTGTATTTATTTATGTATATAAATTATAATTATGCTGCATGTATTTTTATATGTAATTATTGTCTATTCCTATTAGAATGTAGGCTAATTGTAAGTAGGGATCATTTCATTATTTGTACTTGTATCCCTGGTACATAATAGGCACTTTAATATAAACACTTGTTAATTGATCTCTAAAATGAAATCTTTAAAATCTCTAAAATAACAGCACTTATAGGGTTTCTATGTAGATCAGATGAGAGAATGAGTATATAGGAGTTTGTAAACCTTAAAGTACCACCTGAATGCCAACTATTATTATCTCTTCTTCTACCCGTCATTTGAATCCTGCTTAGGAAGACACTACTGGGCTAGGTGTGCTGGGACAGGCAGGGGTGTGCCAGAGCCAGTTTTTCATTCCATTGTGAGCATTTACACCTAAGAAACTGGGCTTGATATATTGATTTGTTGATGGAGAAAGTGATGGAGAAAATACAGCTTAAACTTAAATGTAGATTCTACATACTTCTTCCCCCCGGAGTGCCAGTTGCTAAACATTTACCACTACACCCCCGGCTGGAAGTGTGACCCATTTTTAGAACGTTCCATGTCTTTACCTGATAGTTCCTTGTAGAGGCTTTCTCCCCTGGGTGAAGCAAGGATCAGCATAGTGGACACACTTCCCTTCACTTTTTCTATGATTCCATTCTAAGGGACAAGGAACATTCTGTTAGAACATTCCTGTTCAAAGGAAAGGGAAACCGTTCAGATGAGCCCTCCCCATTCTCTAGACATGATGGGCGAGTGTGCATACTGGCACCTGGTAAGCCCTGTAATGGCTCTAAAAGTCATGGTCCATGATCCTCAAGTCCCAATGTAGAGTAAAGGGAACTTCCCAGACTAAGAAAATGAAAAGTGTGAATTGCTGAAGGAAGTCTGTACAGAAACTAGGGAGGCTCAGGGTGCTGCTCAGGTGTGTTAAACCAGACAAATCAGTAAGAGTTGTGTCCTAAAGCCAAGAGAATATAAATCCCTAGACTATGGGAATAGTTTTATTTTTGTCTTTGTACTGCAAGCAATGAACACTGTGCCTATCAGTTTTTGTTGCTATTTAATCGTTTTTCAGTTGTGTCTGACTCTTCATGACCCCATTTGGGGTTTTCTTGGCAAAGATACTGGAATGGCTTGCCATTTCCTTCTCTAGCTCATTTTACAGAAATAGAGGCAAACAGGGTTATGTGACTTGCCCAGGGTTACACAGCTAGTAAGTATCTGCGGCCAGATATGAACTCAGGAAGAGGAGTCTTCCTGACTCCAGGCCCGGCACTCTATCCACCACACCACCTAGTTGCCCCTCTAGTACAGAGTAGGCACTTAATAAATGCCTGTTGCATATGCATGTTGGACAAGCTGGACTTCATATATATGCAATTAGCACACTGTCTGGTACAGAATAGGTGCTTAATAAATGCATGTTGAAAGAATATGTGCTGAATGACAAAGCTAGACTCAATAATACCTATGCTATGTATCTATTTGCCAAATGCACAAATAATTCACACCCAAGTGCTTGTCATCGTTGTACATAGAATAGCTTCTATTCTACCTGAGGACATGTGGCTGGGGTTATCATTTAAGGAGATCAGGATACAAGAAAGTAGGGTGGGGGAGCTATGTTCCTATGATTACCGTCACAAGAGCACTCAAAAACAGGTTTTGGCAATGAGAAATCAGAAAACAAGCTGGCCACCATGGTTCATTGGGTACCATGGAAATTTGCTCTTGGAAGCTGGTCAGGCCAACATTCCAGCCTTTCTCCTGAAACCCCAACACCACCCTGCCACCTCCCTAGAATTAGAAATCAAGAGAAGGATGTAGAATACCTTCAATTGCTGGAATTGACTCTTCATCCTTTCTTGGGCCCTTTCAAATAAACCCTCAGCCACTTGTCTGTCTACACCTCTTCGGATGGCATCTTTCGTTCGCTCACAGGCTTTCTTGCCAGTTATATGAGCTGCCTCTAGTGAAAACAATAACCATAGTTATACCTCAGTTGAAAAAAAAATATTTATGGGTTTTCTCTGGTGTTAGAAAAAAAATTACTGTTTCTATGACAGTGAAAATAGATTATAAAAGGGGGAGGGGTAGAAATTATAATCTTGTTATTTATATAATGATTGTCACCAAGGGAATCTTTGTTAACCGCAAGAGTTAGATTAATCAGGATCCCCAGCACCTAACAGTGTCTGGCACATAATACAAGTTTAATAAATATTTGTTGATTAACCTCACCCAATCCGGTCCTGTCATAGTGAGGAAGGGCTGTGAAATATTCTTTTTTATAATTACAAAAGACATCTAGTGCTTTGCTTTCCTTTTGTTTTTTTTTTTAAACCTTTTTAACGGTCATTCTGGCAAGACTTAAGACTGGCTGCTTTGTGAATGGACCTAGGTCACTAAAGACCTTGGAGGTCTTCTTTCCAGCTCAGGAAGAGACTTGCATGTTATCACAAGATCAGAATTGGAAAACAGAGCTTTTCTGTTACAGCAGCAGTTTTTAAATCCCTCTGGAAAGAGAAGAGGAAAGTTGGAGAGAGTAAGGGACGACAGTGACAGCACCATCTGAGAACAGAGCCAGAAGCGTCAAACGTAGGGTTTACAGGGCACATTGTGTCCTGCACTATTCCTTAGTGCAGTCAGAACCAGATTAAAATGCAATCAGGAAATATTTACAAAATAAAATAAAATACAATAGAATATAGATAATGTTAATATGTGGTTTTCTAAGTCAATATGATGCCCCCAGCAGTCCTTATGTGCCCCTTTTTTCTATTTGAATTTGATCTGACTAGCCACGTGACTGAGCAGGAAATGACAATTATGCCTACTTGAGAAACCACTAGAACAATTGTGATTTACTGCACTCTTTGTACCTCATTTCTATTTTATTTAGATATGAAATAGGCAGCATGGTTTATTACTAAATGTTTCTCTGGTATTTTATATTTTGTTTACCAGTTTTGTTTTGTTTTTTTAGTAATGGCTTTCTAGAAAGTAAGATCACTTTAAGTGTGCTCTGAGTTGGTGTAGTTGTTATAAAGAAAGAGAAAGAGAGAAGGAGAGAGAGAGGGAGAGGGAGAGAGATTGAGAGAGAGAGAGAGAGAGAGAGAGAGAGAGAGAGAGAGAGAGAGAAGATGTGGAAACCTGTGGATAATTGATTACACCAAATTCAACTGCCTAGGAAATCTTTCCAGCCTGGGGATCAAAACCTGGGGGCTCAGAGTCTTAGGAATTTTGTTAATATCTACTTTCAAGCTTTCTAACTTTGCAGAGAAGAGAAACTATGGGGAACGAGGTCCCTAGCCCTGGATTAAAATCCTCACAAACTAAAATCATTTCCTCTAAGCTGACAGGTCTCTACACTAGAGACTTTAGGGTTTTCTCCACGTTCCCTGCCCCGCTCTCAGTTGAGAATGGGAAGAGAAAGTAAAGGTGGAGACATCAAGACAATATGGCAGGAGGGGGGAAGAAAAAAAAAAGAAGAAATTTACATGATAAATTTATTATCTGTTTAAAAGGAATAGCAAGTTGTACATAATAGATTTGTAGTTTCATATGTAATCATCTTTCTATTTTTTTACTAATGTTATGGAAATGCTTGTTTTATTTTGTAAATTAAAAATAAAATAAATTTTTAAAAGAGAGAGAGAGAGAGAGAGAGAGAGAAGATCATGCCTTGAGCCAGTCCCTTGAGGATGGAGAAGAGAGTGATCAGGAAGAATCAATTTCAGCTACTACTAAACAAAGAGGGCATGTGTATGAAAAGCGCTCATCCACCTTCCACTGCTACACTTGCTGGACATTACTTCTCAGTTGTGGATAACCAGATGTTCACATTTAAATTATCTGTGTTTTAAATAACTAAAGCACAAAGCTATGGGAAAGTTAAGTGTAATATCAGCCGAGCAAGGTATCATGGTATAAGTAGAGCATTACTAGGAATTTTTGCACTCAAGGCAAGTATCACAAACTACCACACTCAAGATAAGCAGCATGGTGCACAGGCTCATTTGTGGGAAAGGACTGTAGGAAGAAAAGGAATGGTTAGGAGAACTCCAGACTGTCATCTGTTAGCTTCCTATTCAAGTTGCTCTTGAAAACTAGGTGCTAAATTCTGTCATTCCTATGCTGCTGAAGGACTGAAGGTGCTTTCAGCACCCTCTAAATTCAAGCAACCTGGGAAAAAGCTCTCATTGCCCTATCCTAGTTACAATTCTAGTGATAAATTTTCTTAACACTAGAAAGGCAATTAGATGGTGCCAAAAGACAAGATAGATGGCTCATCCGGTAACTTTTTCCTCTTGCTATCTGGTTTTTATTTGTGAAATAAGCTGTCATGGTGATCTGGGAAGAAGATAGGACACCGTCTTGGAGAAATTAATGAAAAAAAGCACAAAACACGGGGCCTCCACAAACTTATACCTTCATAATACGGCTTCAGATCATTCTGAACAGAGTTGCAGAGAGACTCATAGATCCTCTTCTTTCTTCTGAGGATGTGTCCTTCCAGGCCTCCCAAGATAGCATTTATCTATGAGAATTTATGTTCAGAAAACATGAATAAATCATTCATTCAACCATGTGCTAGAAGAGTCATCTTCCTAAGGTCAAATTCTGGAAAGGTCCTCAGAGGTCAACTAGTCTAACACCCTTATTTCAGAGATGAGGAAACTGATGCCCAGAGTAGTAAAGGGATTTGGCCAGCATCACAGAGACTACAGCTCCTCCAAAACACAAGCATCATGAGAGGTCCATTCAAAATTGACCTTTTTAAATTTCTGCAGTCTTAAGCGGAGAAGGGAGGGAGGACGAAAGAAGTGAAGAAAGAGGAAACTTTCGTTTAAATAGGTGTAAACGGCACCTTCTGTTTCTTTCCTTTTTCCATTTAATTATTTAGCCCAGGCTTAGAATAAATGGGGCTGAGCTTAAAAAAAAGCAAAGCCAGATTTGACCAACAGCTAAGCTCTGATCCCTGGCAAGTTCTGCCTTTGGGGAAAAGAATGACTTAAAGCTTTGCAAAGTCGGGCCAAAGGTGACCCACCAAATTCCAAATTAGAATATATGTAACTGCTCAGGCTCAGAAGAAGAATATGAAGCCTGTTGTTCAGTTGTGTTCAACTCTTTGTGACCCTGTGGACCAACTGTCCATGGGGTTTTCTTGGCAAAGATATAGGAGTGGTTTGCCATTTCCTTCTCCAGTTATATGCAGGAAGGAGTTAAGTGACTTGCCCGGGGTCATACAGCTAGTAAGTGTCTCAGCTCATATTTGAACTCTGGTCTGACTCCAGACCCAGTGCTCTCTCCACTGTGCCACCCAGCTGCCCATACAAAGCGTGGTACCCTCTTTAACTATTAACTCTATGGCCCATCCAGAATCTTAGAGGCAGAATCATAGAATCAGAATCCCAAAACTAAAAGCAACTTCAGATGTCATCTAATAAACTGCTACAACAGTGTTGTCAAAGTCAAATAGAAACAGAGGTCACTAATCCACACATAAGGATCAATCTCTCTTTTATTTAGGTTTCCAGGGCACCTCCGTCTCCTGGTTCTCCTCCCACCAATCTTACCACTCCTCTGTCTCCTTTGCTGACCCCTCCTCCGGATCACACTCTCTAACCTGCCTGCCTCCAGTCTCTCCCCACTCCATTCAGCCACTGACGTGGTTTCCTAAATCACAGGTCCCCTACCCAGTAATCTCCAGTGACTTTTTATTGCCTTCAGGATTAAATAACAAATGCTCTGTTTGGCACTCAAAACCCTTCATAAATTATCTTCCTCCTACCTTTCTAGTTTTTTATACCTTCTCCCTGACATGTACGCTTTGATCCAGTGACATTGGCCTCCTGCCTGTTCCATGAATAAGACACCTGTATCTCTTGACCCCAGGCATTTTCTCTAGCTGTCCTCCATACCTGGAATTCTCCTCCACTCTGACCACTGACCTCCTGGCTTCCTTGAAGTGCCAACTAAAATCCTTTTATTGGAAACTTTTCCCAACCCCTCTTAATTCTAATGCCTTCTCTCTATTAATTATTTCCTATTTATCCTTATATATAGCTTGCTTTGTATGTATTTGTTTGCATGTTATCTTCCTCATTAGATTGTAAACTCCTTGGGGGCAGGGACCGTCTTGTCTTTTGCCTCTTTTTGTATCCCTGGCACTTACTGGCACATAGTAGGCACTTAATAAGTATTGATTGACCTCTGATCTACAACATTTCCAACAAATGGTCCTCCAATCCACCATTTTCCTCAGTAGCTTATTTTATTTTTGTTGTTTGTTGTTGTTCAGTCATTTTTCGGTTGTGTCTGACTCTTCATGACCTCATTTGGGGTTTTCTTGGCAAAGATACTGGAGCAGTTTGCCATTTCCTTCTCCAACTCATTTTACAGATGAGGAAACTGAGGCAAACAGGGTTAAGTGACTTGCCCAGGGTCACACAGCTAGTAAATGTTTGAGACTAGATTTAAGCTTAGGAAGATGAGTCCTCCTGACTCCAGGCCTGACACTTTTATCCACTGTGCCACTTAGCTGCCCCATTTATTTTAATTTTTCAGGCAGCCCTAATTATAAGGAAATTCTTCCTTACGTTGACCTAACATCTGCTTTTCTGTAATCAATTTCTACTCTCTGCGACGAAGAGAAATAATTCTCATTCTTCTTACACACAATGATTCACATGGTAGGTGGAAAGAGTGCAGAATTTGGAATCATAGTGACGTAGTTTAGGGGTGCTGACATTGCTATGGGGTTCTGGTACCTCCAAAAAGTCAGGGTACAAGGTGGAGTCGCCTGGAACGAATTCACACGCTCAAGCTATGTCTTAGCCAAGCGGCAAAATTTACTGTAACTCTTAACAAAGCAGGCAAGGGTTCTTAGGAAATGTGCAAACTAGTGAGGATGGTACTAGGGCTTATATGGAAAAGGGACAGCATGGAAAGAATGTCAAGGATGCTAATTAGGTAATCTAGGGACTTCAGAGGAATATGCAAGGGGTTCAAGTGCCTTGAAAGAAGGTGCCAGTGATCTATGGATGGGAAAATTCAGGGAGTCAACAAAGATAGCTCTGTTGATACCAGACATTGAGGGAGAAGACGAGATAGGATTGCTAAAGCATGGTCCTTGGGCCTGGCACTCCTGAGAGAACTTTCATCAAAGGAATTCCAGGCTCAGTTTTTCATGTGCTTGCAACAAAAAAAGATTTTCTCACAAGAAACTGAGTTGTTTCTGTAGACACGGTCTTAGACCTGGGGCCCAAGCACAAGCACCCCATCAACTGTACCTAGGTTCAAACCCTGCCTCTGCCATTTACAATCTTAATGACTTGAGCAAATCCCTTCGCGCCCCTGGGGTTCATATTCCTCCTCATTGGTAAAAGGAGGGGGTTGGACCAGATGGCCTAAGAGGTCCTATGTATCTCTAAATCTATCATTCCATGAAATATTTGAAGAAAACTACTGTGTCCCCCTTCAGCTTTTTCTCTTTGAGGCTACCAGCCTCAGTTCCTTAGTTTCCTCATCTGTAAGGTGAAGGGCCTGGATTTGATGGACTCAAGGTTCCTACCAGCTCCAGGTCTGTGATCTGATGCCCCTATGATTTTTTTTTTTAGCTGATCCTCTACGATATGTTAGCTTTCCATTCAGGAAGGGACTTCAAATGTCATCCAATCCAACCTCCTCATTTCACAGATGAGGAAATAAGGCCTTGGAGAGGTGGCATGACTTAGAAGTCCTTACAGTTATTTAGTGGCAGTCCACACTACAACCCAGATCTCTTGGTGCCCAGTCTAGGGCTCTTTCCTCTAAACTGCAGTAATCTCTCAAAAATGGAAGAACAGTGGTTGAAAATGTTACATGTCAATGAATATTTCTGTGGGTCAAGTAACCCTGTGAACCATTCTACAAAGTATAATCTGTCTCTGATTTATAGAGGCAGCATTTACCACCACCTAATCTCATGTTGGGATAAGGTTCAGTTTTGGTTTATAGTTCAGGTGCAATCTTAGGGCTGGTTACTTCCTTCAACCTGTGAAGAGTTTCTTTGTTGTTCTGTTGTTTCAGTCATTTATGACCCCATTTGGGGTCTTCTTGGCAAAAATACTGGAGTGGTTTGACATTTCCTTCTCCAGTTCATTTTACAAGATGAGGAAATGGAGGCAAACAGGGTTAAGTGACTTGCCCAGGGTCACTCAATTGCTAAGTGTCTGAGGCCAGATTTGAACTCGGGAAAAAGAGTCTTCCTGACTCCAGACTTGGCATGCTCTATCCACTATATCACCTAGTATTTCATCAGTTTAGTATTTCAATAATTTCTCTTCTCCCTTCCTTTGAGACTCTGGCCAACTCCAAGGAAGCAAAACCTCAGATTAGAAGGCCAATCTATTTAGCTTGCTGGGCAACAAGGAATCATAAGCCAACTAGACCAAACTTTGCTCTCACCTCCTGGATCAGAAAATTATGCTTGCAGCTGTCAGATTTCCACCCTCTTTTTATTACCACTTCTGTCATTTTCTCCTGGAGAGAGTGCTTGAAAGTGTCTATGTGAAGGATCAGTGCAGAACCGGTGTCCTTCCCAGTCCTACAAAAGGATGCCAAGTCAGATGTTAAGAGAGAAAGAGCTAACGATGAGAACCTGAGAACAGACGTGGTATAATAAGCATGGTTTACCCATTGGCAAGAATCAGCAAAACCAACAAGTATGACCTAGACAGTACTACTTCCTCCTTCCTATACTATTATTCCTTATACTATGGTGACTATTATGCTATAATTATATAGTATAGTTTAACTATTATGCTGTAATTCCTCGTACTATAACGCACTATAAATTTGTTGTTGTTCAGTCATTTCAGACTCTTTAGTCATGACCCCATTTGGGTTTTTTTTGGCAAAGATACTGGAGTGGTTTGCCATTTCCTTCTCCAGGCAGAGTTAAGTGACTTGCCCAGGGTCACACAGCTAGTAAGTGTCTGAGGCTGGAGTTGAACTCAGGTCTTCCTGACTCCAGGCCCAGTGCTCTATCCACTGCACCACCTAGCTGCTCCCATACTATAAATACTATAACAAAATAACTCAAAGACTGTACCCTTCTGCTTTTGTGCCTTTATTCATACTGTTACTCTATGCCTAGAATGCCCTCCTCCCCTCTCTCTACCTTTTAAAGTCCAACTCAAATGTCACCTCCTCCGGGAGGTCTTGGTACTGAGTTTAAAGGATTCCTGTGGTCTGGCATACTCATATGGTACAAGTTATCTCCTTTGATCTTCACAACAATCCTGTGAGGCAGTGTGAGAAATAATTCATTTGAACCCCTACTCCACTGCAGTCAGTGTTAATCAGTTTGATAAGATTCCATTGGAATAGTGATTATAAGTTCTGTATATTAGGCCCCAGAACTGTGAACTACAGATTGTAAGTTCACTTGCTTAATCATAGGAAGCTAACTAGAGGCCCTCTACCCTTGTTTTTACTCGTTATGGTGACCAAGACATGGCACAGGTGACTTGATTTCATGGAAAGTTCTCCAACTTATTTTTGCACCACTGGACCATTGTCTCTTGTCCTACATGAGCCGGTGACCATCTTGTGAGCATCTTACGACCACTTAGTTAGTGTAAATGCCCCACACTTCACCCAACACAAGACACTGGCCCCCTCTCTTCCTCCGCCTCAGCTGCTGATGTACGATTTCTAGGTGATGCATTATTTTCTAGCCTGTGAAGCAAGATCCATCAATCCCTGGGATTCTGTACTTTTTATAGCTTCTTTAAAATGCTGAGGTATCAAATCTGGTATCAAGCCTTATAAAAATAAGGCCCTAGAAAAAGGGGGCATCTCAGATCATGAGACAGATCTGAAGTCCACTTCATTAGAGGGGATCATGGACTCTTTAATAAAGTGCCATTGGCTCAGAGCTCTGCCTCAGTCTCTTTTATTGTAGGTTGGACAATTTTAATAGCCACATTATGTGCTATTATTATTCCCATTTTACTTATAAGGAAACTGAGGCTGACAGAGACTAAGTGACTTGTCCAGGGTCACATAACTAATAAATATAGAAGGCAAGATTTGAACTCAGGTTTTCCTGATTCCAAGTCTAACACTGTCTCCACTCCACCATGGAAAGAATCTCTAGGTGACCCTAAATAGTCATGGCTGCCCCATGACTATTAGTTTCCCAGCCCAGAAATGCCACAAGATACCCACTATCAGGACTTAGTTCTACATAGCCCTGGATTTATATTAGAGATAAGGAATCTACTCTTGTGGGGGAGGAGAAAATTACATAGTATTTCTAAACAGAGGAGTTCCATGAAGTGGATTTGGCTTAAACTCAGTCTAATCCAAGTGTTTTCTCCATGGAGGTGGTATGTCAAGGACCAAGCACATTCCCAGAGCTGGGGGATAGAGGCTATTGAGGTCCTGGGTTCAAAGTCACCTCAGACAGTTGGTTATTAGCTGTGTTACCCTAGGCAAACTGCCTAAGCTCTCTGGGCCTGTTTCCTCGTCTATAAGATGAGGGAGGGTGAATCCAATGATGTCTTATGTCCCTCCCAGCTCTAAATCTATGATCTATGATCTATGATCCGGAAGCTGGGATGGCTTCTGACTGGAACCTAGATCTATAAGCCCATAGTAGGGAATGAGCTTCCTCCTCAGACCTCACATAACATGTTGTTTTGCAAATCTCTGTTGTATTTATCAGTCACAATTCTCCATTACAATTATCTGTATTTTTTGTCTTGGTCTTCTGTCCTAGACTGTAAGCATCATGAGGGCAAACAGTGTCACGTCTTATCTAAATTTCATACCATTCCCAGTGTTCTGTTGGTATTTAATAAATGTTTGTTGATGCCACCCACCTTAAAGAGGTGGAAATAATGCATATCTGCAAGAAGATTTCTAATTACAAAGAATTCTTTTGAATGGGAATCTGCTTAGCCTTGGTAAAGAAAAACAGAGTTAAGATAAACAGTAATTGAAAATGGTTGAAGTGAATAAAAATGTGCCCTGTTGTACCTAGATGTTTCTATTTCCTGGAATCTTGCTCTATATTGTGTTTATACATATACTGTTTACCTTGTATTATTTGTGTATATTATGCATATTTTTATATACAATAAATAGATTTACATATTGATAGTAATGGATTTTTAAAAGGTAATCTGATAATATAGTAACATGATTTAATAAATTTGCCTATAATTTTATAGGAAAACTCAACTGACTGAATCACGTAGCATTTCTGTCCTTTCACAGTTGTCCATGAAAGCCAAGCAAGTCTGTTCACGTAATCACAAGTGCTCACCTGGTGGTACTTCATTTTTGCTTGTTGACTAAATGATTTGTAGAGCAAATGAGGGGGTGGAAAAATTAATCAAATCACATTCTCTGCTGACTATGAGCCAGCCATGCAGGAGAGTGCTGAAGTCAGCTCAAACTGGCTGGCAAGAGCTGGTTGTTAAATATTCAATGTGAACACCTAAACCTCAGAATCTCACTACAAATCAGGGCTTGATTTATTGTTTTGTTGATTATCTAGACTTAGGAACTTGATGGAAAAAAATGCTAATAATGCAGATTAAACTTCAAAGTGTGGCCTACATTTTTAGAGAGCTGGTTGTTAAATATTTGCCAGCACACTCTCGCACCATTTTCACTTTTGTGTAGGATAATGGTTTATATAAATAGAATATCTCTCCTGAAATTCTGCTAAGGGGTTTATTTCATTCTTCATAAGAAGACAGTGAGTTGTGCATACACAGAACCAAAGCCCACTTTCATTTTTACCTTCAGTTTGGTTAAAAACACCCATGTGTTTTCCTTAACTCCACTTCCTCCAGCTAAAACACCTTCTTTTAGACTCAGGTCCACAGAAAAACTAATTCCCCTACTGTTCTTACAAGATAGCTATAAGGTTATGATAAGGACAACTTTCAGATCCATGTGACATCTTAGCCTATACTCTACTTCACTGTAAGAAATTATTTAATAAATAAAATCAATAAGGAGGCATGGTCAACTCAGCAGCCTTGACCTGATCTTGGCCAACCCTTAATTGTACTGAAGCCTCTGAGTTCCAAAAAATATACTCCAAGACTTGGCCCAAACTAAAAATTCCTAGAGATGTTTCTGCTCCAATGTGCCTAGTAACTTTGCTTTCTAAAAGGAAGGAAAGGAAGAAGATGGTGCACTTACCTGAAAATGTTTCCAAAAACAGGGTCCACTCTGTCATAAATAGGCTGAGTGATGGCTTCATTCAGGTCTATTCTGGCAAGTGTCCTGGAGGCGTAGATACCATCTTTCAGACAAACAGCTTTCAAAGTCTGGTAGAAACCTTGATTTCCCTTGCTTCTCTAGATAATAAAGTGGAAAATTAAATGGCAGGCCATAAGCATAGATTAAGCACTTTCCATGTGCCAAGCACTGTGCTAAGCATAAAGAGTATGACAGTCAGAATCTTATTGCTTTTGGTCAAAAGCCATCATAAAATTTTCAGAGTAGATTAAATGTTGTTTTAGAAAAAAAGTCATGAATGCAACAACGTAAATGGAAAGAATAGAAAAAGAAACTAAATGCTGCATGATTATAGTGACCAAGCTTGGCCACAGAGAAAAGTTGAGAAAATTCACCTCTGTTCCTTCTTTGCAAAGGGTAAAGACCAGGGATGTGGATTGTCTCATTTACTGTCAGATTCGGTTGATATGTTGGCCAATTTTGTTGAATTTTATTTTGTTCTTTGCTACAAAATATAGCTCATTAGGTAAAAGAGGGGGGGAAAGATGCATTTGGACACAGAGACAAGAAATAGCATGTCATGTGTGAAGAACAGAAAAAAGGCCAGTTTGACTGGATTACAGAGCGTAGTTGGAATAATGTCCAGTGAGGCTAAAAAAAGAGTTTGGAGCCAGCTTGTAAAGGACTTTAAAACCTAAACAAAGGAGTTTATGTTCTAGAGGCAACAGGAAGCCATTGGAATGAGTGCATGGGGAGTCACATGGTAGGTAAGAGATGATCAGGGTTTGAAGTGTGAGTGAAGAAAAGGGGTTAGCTGCAAGAAATGCTTTGGGGCATGTATAACCTATGTCTGATTGCTTGCCATCTCAGGGACGAGGGAGAATTGGGAGCTCAAAACTTTAAATGAAAATGTTAAAAAATTGGAAAAAAATAAATTAAAACTACCCATATTCTGGGGCTTCACACATTAAAAAAATAAAATAAAATCCTGCCAAGTGTAAATGAAGTAACATCAGAGAGAAGGCACTAGTAATGCAGGAAAGGCCTCTTGCAAAAGGTGTAATTTGAATTGAGTCTTGAAACCAGTCAGGGAAGCTAGGAAGAAGAGACCTCCAAACATGGAGGACAGACAGCGCAAAACACAGTCTCCTGGGGCGGCGAGGTGGCACCGTGGAGAGAGCGCTGGCCCTGGAGTCAGGAGGACCTGAGTTCAAATCCAGACTCAGACCAGACACTTGACACGTACTAGCTGTGTGACCCTGGGCAAGTCACTGAACCCCAATTGCCAAAAAACAAAACAAAACAAAACACAGTCTCCTGATGGAATGTCAAATAGGAGAGCAGCAAGTAAGCCAGGAGACTTTTTTGAAATGTGAAAGTAAGGGAGTAAAGTATAAGAACACTAGAAAGGCAGGAAGAGTCCAGGCTGTGAAGGGCTTTAAATGCCAAACTGAGCATTTTTACATTTGATTCTAGATATAAAGAGGAGCTATCTGAGTTTATGGATAGATAGACCTGCACCTTAGGAAACTCAGTTTGACAGTTAAGTGGTGGCTGAATTGAAGATAGCAAAGACCTGAAACAGGGGGCCCAATTAGAAGACTGTTGCAATAACTGAGGTAAAAGATGATGAAGGCCTATACCAGGGTGGTGATTGTGTAAATGGAAAAGAAAAGGTAAAATCAAGAGAAGTTGCAAAGGCAGAAATGACCAAAAAAAATTCTTCCAACTCCAGTTTTATTTATTTTTGATTTGGTGTTTTGTTTTTCCCCAGTTGTGTGTGGAGACAATTTTGACATTCTCTTTTCAGGTTTTGAGTTCCAGGTTCTCTCCCTTGCTCCTCTCCTTCCCCCATTTGACATGGGTTATGCATGTGTGGTCATGCAGAGTATATTTCCATGTGGGTGGTACTGTGAGAGAAAACACAGACAGGGAAGGACCCAGGAAAGATGCGGAAAGTAAAGAAAAAGTATCTTCAAAAAGAAAAAAGAAATGTCATGAGAGCAACAAGATTTGACAGCTGACATATGGGGTAAAGGAGAGTGAGGAGTCCAGAAAAGTGCCAAGATTGAGACCCTGAGAGACTGGAAAGATGGGTAGTGTTTTCAACAGAACTAGAGAAGTTTGGAAGAAGGGAGATGTTTTGGGGGAAAAGATAAGTTGCATTTTAAACATATTGAATTGAGATGTCTTCAGGACATCAAGCTTGAAATATCCAATAGGCAATTGGGGTGTGGGACTGAAGCTCAGGGACATATTGAGGATAGATAGATAGATAGATAGATAGATAGATTGTACCGGCCGCGCCGACCCTCTCCTCCTATAAGGAGCAGGCTGCCAGAGTCATACTCACTCTCGAGTCTTCGGTCCTCAGCCGGATAAACACACAGAGACGAGCCATCGGGAGGCGCCAACACCAGAGCTTTATTCAGAGGCCATCACAGCAAGCCCAAGCAGCAAGGCCAGAGCAACAGAGCAGGAGCCAAGAGAGAGCTGATCTGACCACGCTCGTCCTTAAGTACCTACTTAGCCCCTCCTCCCCAGCCCGCTTACTAGCCAATGATTGTAGGGTCAGATACCGGAAGGGGCTGTCTGAGTTAGCACACCAAGGGAGAGGGAGTGACGTAGGAAGCTAGGACCGGATACAGGAAGGAGGCGTCTGGGATTAGTGCATAGACAGAGTACGTGACCTAGGAAGTCAGACTCAGATACTGGGAGGAGGCATCTGGGGTCAGTGCTACACAAAAGGACCCAGGAAGTCAGGAAGGTCACAAGATGGAGGCGTCTGGGGTTGACGTTGCATATAGGGAGGGGACTAAGCAAAGGGAACTCAGTCCTCTGCCATCCCACTCCCACGTGGCACCGCCCCTTGCCTCAGGAGCACAAGCTCCGGCTACTTCCTTGCACCCAGCTTATCTCACATAGCACTGCCCACTGCCTCAGGGCTTCTCCGTACCCAGCCCATCCCAGTTCACCACAACTCCACCTACCACAGCCCCTGCCTTGACTTCCAAAATACCCAGATCTTACCCTACTCTTGCCACAGCGCCCAACCTGGTAGCTGCCAACATAGATAGTCCCTCACAATAGGTAGATAGATAGATAGATAGATAGATAGATAGATAGATAGATAGATAGATAGATAGATAGATAGATAGA